GTAAAGCAGTGAGAGAAACAGAAAATGGCTCAGATAGCATTAGTCAAAAACTGTGGCCTGCAGATGAGCCACTAGTTGTCTTCAGAGGTCTGACCAGGCAGCTACAGGCTTGCTGACCTCTTCTAGCTAGTCAAATAAATATATAAAATATTCATTGACTTATCTCTATTCCCAATGACTTTAGCTCCCAGTGGAATTTTTCAGCACTGTGTGTAGATGTGACAGAACAGAAAAGACTGAAGAGCTTTGCTTCCAAGTGTTATTTTGTGTGCTTCCATCGTGAAAGGGTGGTTCTCAGCTTTCTACGTGGATACGTACCAGGCATTTTCAGCCTACGTTTCCAGTTCCATTGGACTTCAAAAGAGGAAACTACTCCCATTAATGTTTTGCATGATAACAAGTTAGGCAAGCATCATTTTTGGATCCAGTTTGTGGAAGACTGCTTACTGCCAGTGCCAAGTGGGCGTCATAGTTGAGACTATCAAATGATGTCTGCTGTGTTAAATGCTTTGTTGGATTTCCTGCTTGGAAAGTGATGCATGTGCCAGACAAGCAGTATTTTCTGTTTTGGCATTAAAGCAATCTTGGCACACAGTGCAAGCTGTTTACTTTAAAAGCTTTATTTTAAATATAGTTTTGGAATGCAGAACACACTTAAAATGTCTGCAGATGAACAGCAATGGAGAGGACAGCAAAGCATCCTTTTTTTTACTCCCGTGTCCCTTAGAAATATTTCAGTATGCTTCGTTTATGGGAGCTGCTTCTGATTGGTGTGTAATTTTTCATGCATTGTCTCTTGCTGGGTTGGACAGACAGTAGAGAACATGTAACTGGAAGATAGCTAAAACTGAGAGCATAGAAGAACATAATGGACAGCAAAATTTAAATTCTTTGTAGTATTGTTTAATTTTCTTGTGATATACCGCTGGTGGAAGGACAACATGCTCCATTTTGCTGAGCAGTCAACAGAAATAGTCTGTGCCAGGATATGGAAGGGCACTCTTCCTAAAAGGACACTGCAGAGCCAGTGGTCATGCTGACATGCAGTGCCACTGTTTTTCACCTAGCAAAAAGGTCCTTCAGAATGGCAAGCATAGCGCCAGAATACAAAACACTTATTTATCAAAGCCATAAGTAAGAAATGCTGTGTTTTTAGTTTTAGAAGTAACTTTTGTACATTTATGACTTTTTCCACATTAAACATCATTTATGGCTTGGAAATTATTCAGGCAAGAGGCATGTGGTTTCTGCTCCTGAACATCAGCAGCAGTTTTGCTAAGTTGAGTCTCTATTTTATGTTGACTTTTTTTGGTTTTCATTTTATCTTTTGGGTGGACCTTCATGGAGCAAGCTGCCTCAAGGAGAACCCATAGCCTTCTTTCTAAAGAGAAGACTACATGCTCTGCTTAATGTGAAGAAGATGGCATCGATAGAGGGAATTTGATTTTGGAAGCCAGACCTGTGCAAAGCAGACTTGTGAAACAGTGTGTTTTCTGAGATGTTCCTTCATCAGAGCAGTTGCTGGAATAAGTTGAGAAGTAGGAATTTCACACCTGGTCTTTGAGACACCAGTTGATAGGTTTTTCCATATGCTATGTGAGAAGTTATGGAGTAGGTGTTGAATTTTCAGTTAATCCTATTCCTGCAAATAAATGGTAAACGGTTGATGCAAGATCTTGGTTTATGACCTAGGAGCTCCATTTTACAATTTCTACTGAGACTTCGAGGGCCTTGTTTTGCAGGCTCTTCTGTACATACGTGCAATGTTTGAAGTGGATGGAATTACATATTCTCTGTGTGTATCAAAGCAGAGGAAACTGTATGGGTTGGGTATGATCTTGTGCCTTTAGCACTTTATATTCTAGCATTAATTCTTTAGCCAGCCAGGCAGGACAGATTTAGAAATGAATGCCAACGTTTTGGCTTTTCTGTATTCAGTATTCTGTCCTAGAAGAGCAATGCTCCTTCCCTGTCCAAGCCCAGTTCTGCTCAATGCTGCATCCCATTACTCCATAGAGTTACTCATGACAAATACATGCTGCTATCTTGAGGATATGATGGTGCAGCTATATTTTTACCTTTGTTGCCTTTTTTATGTCTAATTATTCCATTACCAATTGTGTTTAACCATTTATCTGTGCTGGGTGACAACAGTGCAAAATTTTAAGGAGAGAAAAATGACTTTGGTTTTGTTCTCTCACTTGGCTAGATGTGCCTACTTTGTATCCCAGCTGCTTCTGCAAGTCTAATATGCCTCTGTTTCCAGAACCAGTCTCTTTCCTGGAACCCTGTCGCAGGGCTCAGAGCGATTATCTCTGCCTCCCTCAGTAGAGTGGCCTGTAGGAGCAGCTTGTCACTCCCTTTGTCACCGAGTCAGGACTGTGAGCTTACACTTGGTTATGCAGGCCCTCCTAGCTTGATGCAGAGAGTAATATGTGACAGTTTAATAATGGAAAGAGATGATGAAAGCAAAGAAATAGGCACAGATGGGAAGAGATATCTGAGGGCTGCCAGGGCAGCTGTTCGAGATCTCTGAATGAGATGGAGAGGGAACTCCACCACCCTCAGTTTCCCAACTCTCAAACAAGCCATCTCCCATGTGCAAAGCAAAATGAGCTCCACCCCAGCCCGACCATGTTAGCTGAGCTCTGATTAATATGTGGCAAATTCCAAAGGTAACCCTGTCAGTCTTGCTGACATTCCCATTGGTAATACGAACCACAAAAGTGTTGATTAATATCAAAATAATTCTGCTTGATTAGATCAATTAGAATTATTGAGAGGAAATGTAGGAAAAGCATAAATATTCCAGGGAAAATGCAGACTTTAGACAAGAGGCAAAATTGCAAGTTTCCATGGTATGTAAAATTTTTCACCTGAGAGGAGAAATAAGGCCTGTGAATGCTGTTCTCCAACAACCCTCCCAAGAACGTGCTTATCTCAGCCTTCCTTCTTTGTTTGTAGCTCACTCATCGTGTTGGAATGAGCAGCTCTAAGCTAATCAAGTGCATGCATCTTTGAAGTGTTAGAGACTTTGAATGGAGGACCCAAAGGCAGAGACCCATGTAATTGTTTCTTTGACAAGTCTGGCAAAGTAAAATTAGTGGAGTTTAAGATCTTGGCACGTCACTGGGGCACTGAGAGTGGAGGGAGAAGCAGTTTCTTTAAATCAACCCTACCGTGTATTCCTGTGCCATTCTCTGCTGAGGCAGAAAGCCTGGTGTTTGCCTTAAGGTATGAGAAGAGGATCTGGAAGTTTAGATGAGAAGAGCAGAAAGAGCCTGAAGCTCTTAAACAAGAAGAATGAGGGAGAAATGTGATAGCATCTTGAAGTGGTAAAGAGCTGGAGGGGCAATACAAGTAATACAAGGATGATGGGTATTTATTCTCCATATCCAGGGCATAAGGGACAAAATGTCAAGATTTTTAACTACAGTATGACTTAGGACTAAGGCTAATGAAGGCCTGGAACAAAGTGCAACAGTGACTATGGGGGTGTATGAAGGCAATCTTTAAATCTGTAAAAATTTCAGTCTAGGATTGTAGACTTGGAGCAAGGAGAAGGTACCTTTCTGTCCAGTTTCTGTGCATCCCTGCACCAGTAGGAGTTAATACGACACTGAAATTTCTGCTACGGGATATGGTTTAGTAGCTTGTGGTAGTAATGATGATGGGAGAACAGTTGGACTAGATGATCTTGTAGGTCCTTTCCAACCATGTGATTCTATGATTCTGTGATTCTATGAAAGCTAGCCTGTAGCAAGAAGCTCCCCTTGCTTTCCCTCACTTAGATTCTAACTTACAGGGGAAGACAAGAGACAACAGAGATGTATTTTATCCTGTGGTTTTCTTGTCTCTAAACCTTCCCAGATCATGGGATGCACCATCTTCTGTATGGCTATTCACACCCGAAGTTTGACTTCAACTTCAAAGTTAGTTCTGGGTCCAGCTTCCCACTTTGCAGAGAATGCTTCGTACCAGGATTGGCCTTTATGTTATGGTAAACACTGTTCATTCTTCTCAGTCAATAGCCTTTCTAGAAGATCTGTGCACAGAGTAGTCTAAAGCCTAGCATGATATAGTCTGGTTAGCAGTAGGAATCAATGTATTACCAATATATTAGTTTAGCAAAAGGAATCAATGAGCGTGGATTCTGAAACTTTCCATTTCAACTTGCTTGGTGTGTGAACAGCCTTGTTTTCTCATATCACTTGTTGCCAGTATCAGTGTGTGTGAAGATATCAAGATAGATATCAAGATATCTTCTTAACATGGAACAGTACCTGAGGAGAGGGAGTGATACTGATCTTGTGGGAGGAGTGTAAGAGAAGTGACAAAACTTGAATGAAAGATCTTAACCCAGAGCAATTTGGGCACCAGTTTCTGTACAAGAAACATCTCTAATCCAGTGAAGGACTTTCAGCCCTGGTCTGACACATCCACAGGGAATTTCCCATCAGATATACCTTGTTTGTGCTACTGTGCCCCATCTTAGACCACAGATAACTCTTCTAAGCATGCTCTGGGCGAGGACAGGGGACTGGATCCTACTGGTAAAGCAGGCAGTTGAGGAGATGAAGCTGCTTGCTTTGAAATGTCTTCTCCAGAGCCTCCCTGGCTTCAAAATGGTGTTGGGAATTCATTGGCAGTTCAGCAAGGATTTTCAGGCTTTTACTGGGTTCTAAATGTGGAAACTGAAATCCCTGAGAAGTGTCCAAATCCCTGTGTGGCTCCAGGTTATAGTATGTTTTCAGACTCTCATTTCTCCATTCAGTGGAAGGCACTGGCTTCAGCAGTCTTCTGCCTTTTTCAGCCTGCCCTTTAGAAGAGGGCTTCTCAAGTGTGAGTTAATATCATCCTGAATAGTTGAAACTCTGTAACATGCTGAGAGACCCAGCTCTCCAGTCCTGGCATTTTGTTGTATTTGAGACCGCAATCGTTCCCTTTCTGAGAAACCTAACCACTTTGTCTCCTTTATTTTCTCCCTCTCCGCTCTCTAGACACATCTGCTGCCATGAGATGCCTCAGCCAAGGATTTTGAGCCAAGATATGAGGGAAATGATTTAACCAGATGTGTGCCCATGTCTGCAAAACAGAATTTTAAATGCTGAAATTTAAAAGCTTGCCATCATCTCCCCTGCCTCCCAGCAGCAAGGTAAATAATGGGTGGGACAGCAGCATATTCATTAAAACACCTTTTTTCAAGGGAGAGGATAGGAGGTTATAATCTGACTGTAAAAATTTGCTCCAGGCTGAAAACTTGGCAAACAAAAGCTTAGCTTAGAAGTGATTAAAAAGGAAACAATGAAAAAAGAATAAAATAAACCAAGGCAGTGATTTTGGGTGGAGATGAGGGTCTAGAGCTTAGAGATCATTCTTTAGTGGGGGAGGAGAAGGAATGGCTCAAGTTGTATTTGGCTCTAAGCCCTACTATAACTAAGTGTTTCAGAGCCAGTAGAACATACTGCAGCATCTGAATACATGTGCAATCCCTGGCCTCTCCCTTCACCCATTTATCAGAGGAAAGTTGAACCCTCCCATATTCTTAAAAGCACAGGGGATGCAGATATGGTGGCAATAACTGAATTCTTCCTACTGTTACTTTCTGAGTGTGGATTTCCCTGTAACTTAAATTGTAAAAGTAAATAAAGAAACTGAGATTCAGCTTGCCTAGAGAAGAAGAGGTGAATATGTTACTTTCAGCACTGCGGAGCTTCTCAGACCTCTCTCACTCATTGCTGTGAGCCACACCTGATGCTCAGGATCCATTCCTTGCTTCTGCTTTTAGCATCACGTAGAGCCACTCCTGAACAAAAGGATGATCCCTTGAAGCCTCTTAATGTGGGCTGACTTCTGCACAATTTCAGTTACAATTCCAGAGCTAAGGAAGAAGGAAAGCTGGCTGGATGCATAGCAGCAGAAACTATGAGCGCAGAATGAGCCTCTAGAGGGAAAACTTTTCCAAAGTATTATCTAATGTGCACACCACATATGTTTGGCAGCATGGTTTGTACAGACCTTGGGAAACAAACATAACGCCCAGCCAGTAACCAGTTGTCTTTCTTCATCTCAGGACCCCTGGGCCTCTGCAGTCAGTGTGCCCACACATAATTACATTGTTGGCTCCCCCTGTAGTAGGGTCATTGTGTATGAAAGCTTCATACTTAGAGATTTTCTAAACTTGATTGGATAAAGCCTAGAGCAGCCTGATACAAGTTTGCTAACTCTCCTTACTGCTATGCGCACTTCTAAAACAGCTATCCCCTCAGCTGCCTTTTGGAATGCTTCGGCTGTAGCAGGCACCAAGGCACAAAAAGCTAAATGAATGATCAAGGGTGTATAGATATAAAAGACCCTTTCTGAAATTTTCTTAACCAACCCAGGTTTCATAAATGTTTAGTTCCATCAGCATAAGGGCAGTCCTAGTTTAGATGGAATGTTACCTGTCCACTCCCAAACAGGCCTCCATCATGGGACAGCACAGGTTGAACTTTTTTTGCTTTTGTAACAGGCTTCATCATTTACTTGTACATATTTTCATATATGTTTGCAGTTCCTTTGTTTAAGTACCTAAGTGCTGTTTGAAGAACTTAATTCTCTCCAACAGCAGACACTGCCAGGCTTTGCTTTTTATGCAAGAAATGCACTTTAATTCTGTCCTTTCTCAATCCTTAAATGAGGCAGGTGGAAAAAGCCAGTAAAGGAACATATAGGACTAGGTCTATTGGTTAAGAAGGCTTGGAGAAGTTTTGCCTTTTGCTACTACCTAGCCAGGTAACATTGCAGTATTAAGAGATCTCTTATCTGTGCTAGTGTACTGCATAACTTGAGATCAGGCTGTCAAAACACTGTCTTTCTGAATGTCTCAGTAGGATCAACTCTACTGAGGAGTGGGGGAAGGCACTTGTTAAAGATCTTGTTAAAGAGCAAGAAGCAGCCTGGCCTTTTAGTCTGCTCTTGTATTTCAGTGCTGACATTGTCTGTATTTTCCTTTTTAGGGAAGACTGAAATCACTGAGAATGGAATCCAGTCCATCTTCTGCTCTCCAAATGCAGCGACATCATTTATGGACTGATCTTCTACAGCTTCCTTTGAGCACTAGAATTTCCAGGTGCATGTTTTCAGAGCACAAACAACCCCAGAAAAGCTGCTTTTCAAAAGGTATGTCATCTCTTGTTTAAACCAAAAAAAATGAAAACTGAACTGTGAAAAAATGAAAAAGAAAAAAAGAGAAAAAAAAAAGGCCTTTGGCATCAAAACAAAGTAGTTTTATTCTTTTCTATAAGTTTCTTTAACTTGCCTAATACAAACAAAGTGGAACTGTAACAATGAATTGAGGAGATGTGGATGGTAAAAGCAAGGTACTGGCAGTGGAGGTAAGGTAAAATCAGATCCCAGCAGAAAGAAGTTGGGGGAAGAAGTTTAACAAGTTTGCTTCATGTGCCACTGTGTCATGCTTCCTTTTGTTGCTCAAGAATGTTGCCTCACTGGTTCCTAGGGTGTAAAAGGGCTACGCTACTGAGAGGATGTGCCCCACAGACCACCATATGTGAGCCACTGTTGGGCTCATTCTGACAGAAGGAGTGATCCTTCTGAAAGCTGTTGTTTTACTTCTATTGCAGTTGTACTACAGATCAGGAACTGATCGGGGCTTTGTGGTCAGAAGACTTCTGTAGTAAAGTATTTTGCAGAACAGTACTGTGCAGTGCAAAAGCATAATGGGAGGTAGGTAGGCACTTGAACTCATTAAAAGGAAATTAAAATGCCTCTCTAGAAAGTGTTCACAGTGGTCAGGAGGTTTGGAAAAGATCTTCAAAGGAGTTTAGGAAAACAGGCTAAATAATCTCTAAAATAATGGAGTTCTCTCTCACCTTTGCTGCTTCCAAAGGAATGAAACAGGACAAGAGCACTCATAAACTGTTATGCATATGCACACAAAGCAAAGCACAGGAGGAGCTTGACAGACCTTGTCAGGAAGGGGTGAGTGCACAAGGAGCGTGTGACAAGTTCTATCACATGTATATCTCACCAGTGTGATCAGTGCCTTGAAGCCAGCCAGGTCAGAGTTTACACCATGAACTGACATTTCTCCTTCCTTCGTACACATCCTAACCTGCTGTTGCATAATCTGGTGTGAATGGCACACTCTGCTCAGAAGAGACCCAAGACTGGAAAAGCAGGCTGCATCTTTCTGTCTGTTGGGCAGGACTGGAACTTACTGCTAGAGGCATCTGAGCCTGCTGCTTTTTCTTCCCTTCCCCCAGTTCCCACCCAGGCCCCACTACTGAAACAAAGACTCCCACAAAAGCAAAGAAATAGCTCTAGCGGGAGATTCCCTAGTTGCTTCCCACATGTCAACTACTGCTGCTGCAGTCTGTGGCTTGTGTGATGACAGTACTGATTCAATTAACTGATTTTTGAATCCTTCCTTTCATAGCCCTTGTGTAGACAGGCAAACTAGTTAGAATGGCCAGGAACAGATCAAGTGTAAATTTTATAAAGAAAAGGAGGTAGAATGCTGCTTCCCTTCTCCTTTTCTATATGTTGCCTCTGCCTATTTGCAATCTGGCAGTTTGGTGAGAGTGCCCAGCTGTTTTGTCTTGGAAGTGGTTGTTAACTCCTTCCAGAAAGAAAGTGATTAGCCATCTGCACTATTTGTCCTACTCTTGTTGACCTCAAATCCTATTCCAGAGCAAATCGTTGTGAGCTCCAAGGCTGTTCTTCGTAACTTCCCATTCAACCCATTCCAGCCTAAAGACATGCAAGACCTGATACTTTACAGGCCTTTACAGTAAAGGACGATTCTTCACATGTAAAGTCAAAGTATGATTTTACAGTATGATTCCCATAACAGTTATAACTCTGACCTTTTTGCACATATATTATTTTTAGTTAATATAGTTGGTGTTAACTTTAATGCCTTTCCTTTAATCCTTCCCTTGATGCTGGAACAGCTGCCTGGAGAGGTTGTGCATACCCCATCCCTGGAGGTGTTCAAGGCCAGATTGAATGGTGAGGCCCTGGGCAGCCTGGTCTAGTATTAAATGGGGAGGCTGGTGGCCTTGCATGTGGTGGGAGGTTGGAGATTCATGATTCTTAAGGTCCCTTTCAACCCTGGCTATTCTGTGATTCTTCAGGAAGCTAGCTAATTTCCAGGTTAATATGAGCTGGCTAATTTCCAGTGTTTTGGGGAGACAGCTAAGATGAGCAATTCCAAGGTGTTTCTGGCTGCTGGTGTTCCTAAGTGGAGCACATCTGGATCTGTGGTTCATCCCAGGCCTCCTCCCGTTGTCTGTCACTCCCGTCATCCTCTGCCTGCACTGTTGGCTAAGTGTCTGTAATGGCAGGGCTTCAAGTTAGGAAGCTGCAGCCACATGTCATGTTACCGTCAACCAAGATGCTTATGGGGCCAAACCTAGTCAGGCAGGGCTGGTGTCATGAGAAGATAAAGCCACCTTGGTCTAGGAGTTGTGAATGAGTAACATGTAGCAAAAAAAGTGATACCATCACCCATATACCCACTCACTATTAATGAAATGTGGGTCTAGATAGGAAAAGACTGTGGCAGGCAGGCAGAAGGGGAAAAGGGAGGAGGGAGTTCAATTACCATGACGCAGAGAAAGTAAACCCTGCGTTCATGCTTGTGTCAGTAGCCTGTCTGTGTGTTGACCCCAGGCTCACCTGAGCTTTGGCAAAGCTCCCCTTTGTTCTGTGCTGGCTTTCAGAGTAGTTATCCCGTAGCCACTTTGTGACCTGTTCCACCCAGACAGCCTGCCCATGATTGCTTCATGAAGCAAGACCTAGGAATCAAAAACAGGGCATGCTTGCTGAGCAGAGATGGAAAACATCTGTGCTGGAAAAAAGGAGGGGTTTTCTGGCTGAGCAGTGGAAAATACAGATCAAGGCCTGGTTGTGCAATCTTCTCCGGCTGGCCTTTGGCTGCTGTTGTGGCACAGAGACTGGCTGAAGTTAGCAGGAGACTTGTGCCAGGCAATGGAATAGCAAGCGCCTCTCATGACTGGAAGGCTGGAAACCCAGAGCTTAGTCCTAAATGTTTCAGAGTCAACTGAGAGGTGACAAGTGCCATCTGGTAGTGCTGTCCTCTCCACTCTGCTGCAATCAGGCTTGTCTAGCCAGGCCCAGATGGTGGTTGAGTGGCCAGGATGGTTACAGTAAAAGCACACAGATTGTAGGGCTACAGGAAGACAACACTGCCCAGGTAGGAGCTCAATTCCTGCCTAGTGCTCATAAAGTGCTCACTGTGTGGCCACAGTGAGGGATGTGGTTAACTAGTCCAGCCAGGTTCCTGCATATGAATCCTCCATACCCATATTGGGGTGTGGGTGCATACCAAAGAAGACAGTGCACACGTGTTGTGCAGGGAAGTTCAACAAACAATAAGCTAGCAACTGCCATCACCATCCTCCGATGGCAAGGGAAGGCAATACCGTATGTTCACTAGCCTTAACTGCTGGTTGCTTTGAGTCAGGCTCCTGAAACAGTTCTTGATTTGTATTAAATTCAAAATCTCAAAACAAGAGGAAATGAGCCTATAGCTTTAATGTGACATTTGGGTCTGAAGCTAGGAGAAAGGGGTATGGGACTCCATTGATTTATTTATTTTTAACAGTTTAATTGTGTACAAGAAGGAGAGGATGGGCAAGAACAGAGAGGGACATTTAGGCCCTTTATCCAGATTCTCAAAGACCTTGCTACTACCTACCAAGAGAACCCTGCAACATCTCTCTTCTCCCAGTGCTCCTCTCTGTAACCAAGGAAAAAACTAAGGGAAGAGGTAAAATGGTGAGAAGGCAAAAAGCAAAGTAAGCTGGCAGAACCATTAATCACCTCCTGGGTTGATACATACCAGCTACACTGGCCTTTCTTCTTAGCACATGGGATAGGAAAAGACAGTATGATGAATATTTTTCACCATCTAGTATTGCAGCCATGGATTCACCATAATCGACAGAGCACTGGTACAGGTTGTGGCGTCCACTTCTATGGAGACACATGTCTGTGCGACCTATTGTGGGGAACCTGCTTTAGCAGGGAGGTTGGTCTTGATGGTCTCTTGAAGTCCATTCCAATCCCTGCAATTCTGTGATTTTGTAATTGTAGGGAGATCATGCTTTTTTAGAACTGGCTGAGCGTACAGAGCTGAAACATGGGGATTCAGACCTTGCTCTACAGCACTTTTCAATTGTGCTCAACAGTAAGACATAGCTCAGATTTGGAGGAAAAACAACAACAACAAAACCATCAGTGCTGCAAGAGCCCATGGAGGGAAAGGATGAAAATGTGATCTGGTGACCTGCAGAAGGGAGGAAACTGCACAACTGAGGCAAGAGCAGTGCCCAGAGTAGTGCAAAGGGAAGCAGTTTTATCCCAGATAGCAAACTTTGGAATATTTCTGGCTCTCTGTGCCAAGTTTTTGAATCAAGGAACTTCAAGGTATTGGATAGGATGGGTGACGGCCTCAGATGTTACACATCTTAAGGAAACCAGAAAGTAGTACCATGACCGGAAGCAGGCTGTTACCTGCTGACAACATGCAGACATGGATGAAAACAGCATTAAGTTTGCAGTTTCCAAATGAATGCAACCACTGCATTTTGAGTTTTAGGCATTTTTCTTCCTGCCATAAAGGACCATCGTCCTGAGTAGGGGGCTGAAGACACCAGATGGGAAGGAGTGAGGGACCTATCAGCTCTGCTGACAGCAGCCAATCTCTCCAGTGGGAATCCTTTCACTTGGATTCTCAGCGTGCAGTGTATAGAAGTCTGCTGGAGGTGGCCCTCACTGGCAAGAATCTTGCCTTTGCTTAGATCTTTCTCTCATGCCCCTGTATGAAAAGGGTCTGAGAGCATATTTAAGATATTTTGAGAACAATTCCTCTCTCAGAAGAGAATTAGAAAAATGACATGCTTAGATTTTTGTTCCTGTAGCGCTTTTAAAAAGTACTTTGTAGACAAAGAACAGTGACTTTTGCAAGGGCAAATGATTAATTTTAGCTATTACAGGTAAAATCAATTTGTTTAAACCTGGGCAACTTTGTAATAGATCCAGAAATAGAAAGCCCAGACAGATACACAAAACTAATAATAATAGCTTCAGCATTCTTAGAGCTGTTGAGACTTTGGGATTGCTTGCAGATAAAACCCTAGTTCTTCAAAGTTTATTTTCAATACAAGACAGGTGAAGGCGTATTTTAGA